CAGATCAGGATTGAGTCATCAAGTCCGGGGAACTCAAGGCCGAAGATCACCCACCTAGGCGAAAACTCAATAACTTTTAATGGATAACTCAAGAAGCCACGTTCCCTTTGCGCAACGGGATTTCTTTCCTGTCATGCAAGGACACGTCCCAAAATGGTGCCATGCATGAGGGACCCACGATGAATGGTTACAGGTTAATGAGTCTCTGAATGCTTGGAAAAAAAGGAGTTGGCTCCTAGTTTGTAGGAGAACGTTACTTGCAGTTGAAGACCACGATCCCGAGAATTCTTCTTCTCGTTGCCTTTTTATTTGTTTAAAATCTCCAAACATCAAGGGGAAAAAGGGGGGACGTGAATATTAACTTCTTCTCTCTTTGATTGTAAAAGGCTCTTAGCTTTTAATATCTGAAATGGTCGGGGTCGATGAAAGCGGTGGAAGCGAGAGCGAAGATCAAAGCACCGATTGAAAGATAAGGACGCGGTTTTAGAGGAAGAAAACTGGAAGGGGGCCGATCAAACCGTCGTATGATCAACATATTTCCCGATGGAGTTAGCTCGATCCGCGTATCGGAAGAGAACAATGGCACCGCTCTCATCAAACACCCTCAACACTGCTCGGTCATAACTCGACGACAAAGTTCCCCTTCGACCAGCTTCAACGACTGCCCAAGAAGTCTAAACGAGACACAGAAACCTCAAAATCTCATTCTCCTTTCTTAGCCCCAACATGCCTCGATCCCTACTACTCACTCGTCGATAAAGTCAGCTTTGATGTGGGATCCAGACCACACTGGTAACATTTCTATTTTTGTTTTGCATGGATGCTGATCTGGATTTTATGACCTCGGTTGTTGGAATTCTCTAGAAACAGTTGAGCAAGAGAACGGACCTGATTTATTTTATGATGTTAAGTATTCCCTGCGCCTTTGCCTCAAGGAAAAATGGATGTGTGCCTGTGTTCATATATATAGCATGATGGCAATGTATGAGGAAGATGTTGCTCTTGCTCTGCAGAATAAATGTTTGCAGATTAAACATGTTATTTGTCCATGTGGCGTATAATGGTGATTGATTCAGAGCTAGTAATGATGATAGAGACTTGAGAAAGAAGCTTTTGACTAATGGTTGCCAAGCATGTCATTGAACAGGAAAAGAGCACTAACAAGGGAATGTTTTAAATTGAATTGCAAATGCAAAGGCTCCTGTACACGTGAAATAAAACAAAACCCCATGTGACCAAGGATTTGGGTAAATTCTCCATATGGTCCTTCAATCATTATGTTTTTATTTTATTTTATTACTTTTATTTATTTTATTTTTTTATGTTATTTTATTTTTTCCCTTTGATTTTTTTTAATATTTATTTAATACTTGTTATCAAATATTTTCGACATTTTTAGAAGAATGTCAACCAATCAAAGATAAGTAATTGGAATCGGGTTTTTAATTTGTAATTTTTAATTTTCGCAATTAAGACAACCGACAAATTAATTGGTACCGAAAGGACGGTTCAAGGGTGCTAATCCTTCCTTGACCGTAACCGACTCCCGAGCCCGACATATTTCTGGTAAGACGCAGATCAGGTAAGAAATAGGGTATCCTATCAACCCATTTATTTTTAAATAAATGATCGGTGGCGACTCCAATCCATTTTCCTAAGTCGAAGCCCAATTCCAGGGCCCAACCCGAAAGACGGTTGCGACAAGAATACATGTGTTTCCAAGTGAGAAACATTGCAGGGAACTTATCGACGCATTTGATATTCCGTCATCGGTTACACGAGCCCCGATCGCGAAGCAGTCGGAAGCATACTCTCAGTACACGCATCATGTTGGGTTCCAATGACTAGAAAATGCCAAAAGAAAATGCAATGTGAATGTCAGTTGTGATTAGCTTACGTAAAAAAATTGAAAGAGTGGTGGTTTCCATAGCTGATATTAATTATAGTGCGAGAAAAGGATAATCTATCAACTTCGAAAATATCTAATTTATATGATTAATATCTAAAATATAATATTTATGTTCCACGAAATTTTCCAAAGTTTTTTATAATTTGACTTCCTTTTATATGATAAATTTAGTAATACTTTTGGTTAAATTCTTTAAATATTAAAGGAGTTAATATTTTTAAAGTTTTCATAGTTTTGCAAAAGAATTCTTTTGTTTTGGAGCGGAATTGTATATGAGAAAGAATAGAGCTGGTGCCTTTTTAGATAGAAAATGTTAACTTTGTAAAAAGTATTATTTGATTTTTTAGGGTAAACTACACAAATGGTCATTAATTTTTGAGTAAATTTTTATTTTCCTCACTCAAATTTTAAAATTAACAAATCAGCCACTAATGTTATTTATTTATAACAAATGGTCGATAGAAAATTGACGTGGCGCATTAACTGCTGACCTGGCACGTTGGCCGTTTGATCTGCTATTTGACTCCGCTCTAACCCCTATTCCTGTCTCTTTCCTTCTTATTGTTTCATCTTCTTTCATTTCTCTTTTCATTGTTAATCAATATGAATTATTAAATGAGGGTTCTTTATTTCTACTGTAGAAAAAGAACGGAAGCAAGAAAGGCGAGGATGGAGAAAAGAAAGAAAAGAGATCCTCAACCCATCATGATGTAATAAATTAGCATCTTCATCCGGTTCATCATCTTCGTGCAGAATTGACGTATGTACTTGGTCTCCTATTCCTAGATTTTGAAGTCATTCTTTAACCTTAAATATAATAATATTCAGTGGGAAAATCACATCGAAATCCCAATCCATTCCGAAACCAAACAGTGATCAATAAACAAGAAATTTTCAAATAACAACGAAATACATGTAAATATTATCGTTATATCTACACAGACTTGTTCTTGCTTCTCATGAATTTCTTCGTTAAACAATCGCTTCTTCAAAACAAAGTGCAAGTAAAAAAAAAATGTGCGAAGCCTTCTTCAATAACCGCCACTTAAACTGAAACGACCAAAAGTAGAAAAAAGTTAATCGAAAAAAATGTAATTTGAATTTCAAAATTTCAAACAAATTTGAGAAATAAGAAAACTGATCAAAAAGGAAAACTTGCATGTTTGTATCGGAATTCGATGGTGTAAGACAAAAGTATGGAGCTGATATCGTCGACGTCGGGTCTAGGGACGAAAACAATGATTGCTTTAGGTTACTCGTCGAAAATACGAGTCGACTCGGGGGGGTTACACCTGAAGTGAACGAGAAGAATTGTGACATCATCGACGGTGCTGACTCATGCTGCTGCATTTGCCGTAGACCACCTTGATCCCGTGATACGACTACATTGAATTGGATTGGTTGGCAAATTAACTAAAGACCCGAGAATTTCTTTATTGTTGTTTTACTTTTTCCTTGTGGATTTGATCTGATAAATTTGAAACTCGAAGAACATGGGAGTATGTGTTGTTGGTCAAGTGATAGAAATAGCTTTCGCTGGGCTTGGCTTTTGTATGCTATTAGTTCTTTCTTCCTTCCTCCCTCCCCTCCCTTTTTTTTTTTTTTTTGATAACTTGCACTAGAGAGGTCATAATATTGTATTAAAATAATCTCTTTTCCTTTTTTTCTCCAACCCCGTTTTTTGTTGCGTCCATTCTTTTTTTCGGTAAAAACAAGGAAGAACCATCATTTAATAATTCATATCGATTAACCATAAAAAGAGAAATAAAAGAAGACGAGACGATAAGAAGGAAAGAGAGGGGAATGAGGTTAGAGAGGAATCAAATGACAAGTCAAACGGTCAACGTGTCAGGTCAACAGTTAACGCGCCACGTCAGTTTTCTATCACTCACAATAACGGCTATTAAAGATGAATGATCAATTTGGTACAAATCGATAACGTTCGTGACATATTTGTTACTTTTGAAACTTCAGTAGGAAAAACAAAAACTTACTCAAACATTAGTGACTTTTTTTATAATTTACCCTTCTCTTTACTATTACAGAAATTAAATGGGCTCATTTAATAGTCTAAGTACTAATTTGAATCAATATTCTCAATAAAGTAGTTAGATTGATTAATCTAATAATAGAATAATTAATTTATCCGTTTCTTATAATAAAAGGACCTAACAAGTACTTTCACCTATTTTTATTTCTTTTCATAAAATAAATACTTGTCTTTTGGCTTAGTTGTTTATTATAAAAGTAATTCGAGATATTAAATTTGCTAAATATAAATATTTATTAACTATTTCTTTTTGAAAAAAGCATTATGTGTGTATACGAATTTTATATCTAAATATTCAAATTTTCTGTTCATACGAATAAAGCATAATTAAATAATAAATATAATTATCTGAGTCAAAGTTGTAACTTATTAAAAAGGTCCGAAAGAACATATTATGCCTTGAGAAATACCTTTGAAAATGGTATCTGTCAGTGTCATCAATATAGTCCACTGCATTTGCCTGCTTTTTCAGGTCTTCCCCTCTAAGTATAGTGCTGCAAGCCCTCCAATCATTTGTTTTTAGGTAAATCTCTAAATTATTACTTTTATTATGTTATAGTATCTATTAAGTTTCTTATAATGAGCATTAAAATAAAATTTAAACTAAATATTATGTATTATATAAAAAAATAAAAATTTAGATATTACTACAGACATAACCACACATATCATATAGATGTAACCTAAATTATTGTCAAAGCACATATACAACCACTAAAACCCAAGAACTCTGAGGAAAATAAAATTTTTTTTACCACTAAGACCATTTGATGAATTCTTATTTTTATAATTTGTGAATGATATATAGGGATGGATTGAGATAGTTCCCTCTAAAAATGTTAAATTATTGTATTTTTTAAATATTTTCTATTAATAATCTATTTTCATCCTCTAAAATTTTAACTATTCTAATCTAGAAATGGCTCTCTTATTTTCTCCACTAATGTGTCATAGGGCAGTGATCTATCATCCCTTTCATTTTGCCATCTATAAATCTATGTCTTATCATGAAGTATAGGCTAAAAGCTAATCTGTTAAACTCCTGAAAATACAGAGGCTTTTTTGGGTTACCCCAAACACTTCAAACAAAAACCAATGGCTTCCCCACTGAATGAAACAACACCAACAACAGTTGATGAAGAAATGACAGACCTTGCGAGACATGACTGTGTCGAAAGGGTCCAGTGGGTGCTCAACACCCCAAAGCCGCCGGGGATTAGTCAAGAGCTCATCGGCACCGCCGTTTCCTGGAGGAACAAAGTCCCATTTCTCAACATGCAGTCCGGGTTCAAAGATGGACTCTTTTCCATGTTGAAAGCAACTTTCCCCATCCTTTCTTGGTGTCAAAACTACAAAGCAAATCAATTCAAGCACGATTTATTTGCTGGTCTAACTCTTGCAAGCCTCTGCATTCCTCAGGTACTTAAAATATCCATGATTTCGGATTATTCGATTCAAGTTCTTTTCGCCTTTCTGTTACTGGAATCATTGTATATTTCCTTACAGAGTATTGGATATGCAACATTGGCGAAACTTGATCCTCAATATGGCCTTTGTAAGCTGCTAGTTGGAATTCTTTTTATTATGTTTTTGGTGTCTGGAATTGGTTAGATCTCATGATTATATCAATGTATCAGACACGAGTGTCGTCCCGCCTCTCATTTATGCTGTGATGGGAACTTCGAGAGAGATTGCGATCGGACCGGTGGCCGTGGTTTCGTTGCTTCTATCATCAATGGTTCAGAAACTTCAGGATCCTATGGCTAATCCCATTGCTTACCAGAAACTTGTGCTCACAGTAACTTTCTTTGCGGGTGCTTTTCAAGCTGCCTTTGGACTCTTCAGGTTTGTCTCACTTTCAAGCTGCCTTTTTTTATTTTCTTTATCAGATGTCATGCATATATACTTGTCGTGAATTTTTACAGGTCAGGTTTCCTTGTCGATTTCCTTTCACATGCTGCTATTGTCGGATTCATGGCAGGCGCCGCCATTGTAATTGGCCTCCAACAACTTAAAGGTTTACTTGGAATCGCCCACTTCACGAACAAGACCGATGTTATCTCTGTCGTGAAAGCCCTTTGGAGTTCCTTCCATCACCCTGTACTGTTAAATTCACTTTACAAACTACAATAACTTCTTTGAATTTATTAAAATTAATTTCCATTTAAAATTCTTTGGCTTTTTTTCTGCAGTGGAATCCCCATAACTTCATACTCGGATGTTCTTTCCTCATTTTCATCTTAATCACAAGGTTTTTGGTAAGAAAATACATTTTCCCCCTCAAATATTTGATCTATTTAAGATAGAAAACAATGTTCAAATAATTTTATATATCAGGGTAAAAGGAACAGAAAACTCTTCTGGTTACCAGCCATTGCTCCTTTGGCATCTGTCGTTCTAGCAACTCTCATAGTTTTCCTTACAAAAGCCGATGAACACGGAGTTAAGATCCTCAAACACATCAAAGGGGGCTTAAATCCAAGTTCAGTTCATCAGTTGCAGTTCAACGGACCACATGTTGGGGAAGTGGCTAAGATTGGTCTGATTGTAGCCATAATTGCACTCACGGTGGGTGACTTGTCCAAATTCAGAACATCTTACATAGTTAGTCTTTACGAATTTTCTCACTTTTTTTTGTCAATCTTAGGAAGCAATCGCAGTTGGTCGATCTTTCGCAGCCATAAAAGGCTACCACCTTGATGGCAACAAAGAAATGGTCGCCATGGGGTTCATGAACATCATCGGTTCTTTCACTTCTTGCTATGTCGCAACCGGTAATTCATCTACGTTAATTTGTACTCGGACTCTTCAGTTTTCTTAAATCAACCCTTGTTAAGTAACGTAAACTCGAGTTCGAGTAAACTAATTGCAGGTTCGTTCTCGCGGACGGCAGTGAATTTCAGTGCTGGTTGTGAAACCGCAGTGTCAAATGTTGTGATGGTGATCACAGTGTTTATATCATTGGAATTGTTTACGAAGCTGTTGTACTACACTCCGGTGGCGATCCTAGCTTCGATCATCCTTTCGGCACTGCCGGGTCTTATCGACGTCAACGAAGCTTATAATATTTGGAAGGTCGATAAGCTAGATTTCCTAGCTTGCATTGGAGCCTTCCTGGGAGTGCTGTTCGCAACTGTGGAGATTGGCCTTCTTGTTGCGGTAATGTTTTACTTTCACATCACTCTAAACCACTCAAATACGATATAATTATAAGAAGCTGTAGGGTCATAAGATAATTCGACCCACAACGCCTTAATTTGACATGAATGGTGTTGAAACCTTTGAAAATGTCATGCCACTAAGCTATGTCATTGCAATGTTTATCCGTACACTATGGATACATTATAGATACGTAAGTGTATTAAACTTGTGGAAGTTTTAATATATGTGTGGTTGCAGGTAACAATTTCATTTGCAAAGATAATTCTGGTATCGATTCGACCAGGCACGGAAACACTTGGAAGGCTTCCTGGAAGTGATATGTTTGGTGATGTGAATCAATATCCAATGGCTGTCAAGACTCCGGGTGTCTTAGTCATGCGTCTCAAATCTGCTCTACTTTGTTTTGCAAACGCCAATTTTGTCAGGGAAAGGTACTTCCATCCCAATAATACTAAATATATTTCAACTTATTGTAATATATATTATGATATGGTAAAATAATGATTATTTTTGGAGTTATGATTTTCTTTCTCAGGATTATGAAATGGGTTATTGAGGAGGAAAAAGACTGCAAGCTGGGAAATGCAGAAAAGACTATCCAAATAGTAATTCTTGACATTTCCAGTAAGACTTTCAGACATCCAAATAGTAACTTTGTTTTGAAGAATATTTCAACAAATTAAATGGATTTTCCATTTTTTTTAATGAATGGTATAGATTTAATGGACATTGATACATCGGGAATCGCTTCGCTGGAGGAACTGCATAACAATCTCGATTCAAACGGCATCAAGGTATCGATATTCTGTTATATATTTAGAGATAATTACAAGATATTTATTAAATATAAAAGTAAATATTAGGACATATTGATATTTTGTACTTGCCCAAAATTGCAGCTGGCTATTGCAAACCCTAGGTGGCAAGTAATTCACAAGTTGAAGTTGGCCAACTTTGTGCCCAAAATTGGAGGAATGGTCTTCCTAAGCATTGGCGAAGCAATGACCTATTTCTCCATCTAAATAAAGCATATATTAAACAAAATCTAATAGTATATTACTTATAAGTTTGGAAAATGCAACTTGTGTTTTCTTTTAGTTGAGTCGTTTGGATTTTATGATGAATTTGATTATGTCTAATTTTGATATAATTAATGTGATGTACAATGATAAGAACGTATGAACTTTATAAAATAAAAGAAGTTTGGACAAACACAGGTTCTAATGTAACCTATTTCATTTTCTTTGATTTAGGGTTTTCAAGATTTAGTGGTGAGTTTTTTATTAAATAAATAAAGAACAAATACAACAAAATTACAATCTCAAAAGAGAAAATATATAAAAATTAGAATAGACTAATCAAATTAATAGGTTATCGTTCCTAAAACTATCAAAAAGTATAAATTAACCACTAAATAATGAAAATAGGAACATAAAACGAAAAAAAAATTATAAAATCTAACCAAACAACTCAAAGAAATAATAGATATAAATTGAGAATTTGACTTTATCACAACTTAAACGTGACATATTTGGGTTGATTGCTAGTACCTATCAATATGAGAGAATCGATTCAAGAGTTCAAAGTAAGATTAGACCAGTAAGATAACAAAATAAGCATCAATCTTGATAAAACAAGAAACATGATATAATAACAAACAAATAATGTGTTACAAGAGCAGACAAAAAAATCAAAAAAAATTATACGAAGATAAAAAATATTTAAACAAAATAAAATAACATAATTCATATATGTAAAATAAAAACATAACAAAAATTATGATAAAACCTACAGAAAGAAGGAATAAGGAAGAATGAAAGAATAAGAAAAGAAAAATTGATCGGCGGCCAGTTTAAAATTAATATCATAGTTAATAATTAAAGGTATAAAAATTAAAATGAAAGAGGCAAAAAAAGAGAGAAATCAGAACCTATCAAATGACCTCAAATGATAAAAATGAATGTTGTTCTTCCTAAAGGTCCTATGTTTGAGCAGTTGCTGCATATACATTATCAATCGGTTAAGAAATGTTAATAAAGTTCTAAAGATATAATCATCACAGAAAATTTTAAAAAAAAGGAAAATGAGAAAAGAGTGACAAACCCTAATCAATTAAAGATTACTTATTTTTTTTCATATATCATGAGAATCATACATACCCACATACTTGTATTTGAATTATTTTCCTGATAAATCCAAAATATTAGTGAAAATAGAGCAACAATTTGAATTTTGTCATTGTCTTCTTTGAACCCTAAGATCTATAGTGTCTAAATCTACCTCCCAAGAGTTGTTATATTTGCCACTCCTTAGAAATAGCATTAGTATTGAGTTGTTCAGAAAAGCGTCTAGGTTCAATGTATCAGGCTGAGTGGAGATCAGTGGGATGAATTAATTTCTGACCAAAGACTAAAGGAACATTGGGAATATTGGCTTTAAAGGTAAGTGCTTCACTTTGGGACATTGCTGTTGGTCCCTTTTCTTCTAGGGTTCATCACAATAACTCCACTTTTCACCTTTTTATTGTTTATTACTTGTTTTACTCCGTTAGCTTCCGAGTTGAGACTTGTCACTTGAGAGACCTAATTTTAGATGACAAACGTGTCCACATTCATTGTATCTTAAACCCAAGCAAATGTCCATGCCATATCAACCCAAATTCCACTTTCATCGCCTCTTTTCTTACTCAACACAACTATAAGGTAGGGTGAAAAATAACAGAACATTTGATGAATCATTCGTATAATGTTTGTTTATGTTCGTTTATTGAGTTAAATAAACAAAAATAAACAAAAATTTTATGTTCATTTAATAAACGAACAAACATGAACACAAGTTTATTCGACTCATTTATGTTTACAAATAAACTCGTTTATCGGTTCTCCTTTTCCTTTTGTTTTTTACATTTTAAATATTAATAAAGATGTGGATTAAATTGAATACATGATAAACATTGGAGCTCAAACGATAAAGCCTAAGGAGTTTAAGGACTAGTGGTGTAATATCACCATTTTTCTTTTTCTTTGTTTAGGTTGAAATGTAAGTTTTATTTAGTTGTATTTGTTTGTTTAGTTAATATTTATGAATGTATAAATTAATGTGTTAGTGGATGCTAAATAAATATGTTGGTGAATGTTAAACAAACATGTAACGTTAAATGAATATATTCACGAATATGTTTACGAACGCTAAACGAATCAAGTACAAACACTTAGAAAATAAACAAATGAATACAATTTTATTTGTTCAAGTTCGTTCATTTACACCCTACAACTAAGTTATTCGACCTTATATATTGGATAAGATCCTATTATACAATGTAAAACTCTAATAGTTTTATATAGATTAAGTATTGTTTGATGAGTGAAAATAGATGGTTGAGAATAACAGCAGGAAATGAGAAACTTTTCAATGAAAAAAAAACAATGAGTTAATCTCAAGCATCTATTTTCACTCATCCAACGGTCATAAATCTATGTAAAACTAAAAGAATTTTACATTGTCTACGTAGGTCCTAACTATATATATATGTAGACTTAGGATCCATTTACATCTAGTTTTACACTTTTTTATGATTGTTGAATTAGAAAAATCAAAGGTTGAGGTTAACGGTAAGAAATGAGAAGATATTCACTGGAAAAAAAAGAATTAATCTCAATCTTTGATTTTTTTCTCATCCAACGGTCATGTAAAAATGTAAAACAAAAAAATTGACATTGTATGTAAGTAGATCCTAACTAACTAACTATATATATATATATATATATATATTCAATTTTCAATTTTCAATTAATATCTCAAGTTAACTATTGTTTAAATAAGGGCAGTGGATGAGTTTGGATAGGAGGGACATATGCTCAGGGTATAAAATTTAGCCCATATAATTAAAAAGCGTAAATTACTAATCAGGCCACTCACTTGTTTACTTTATTTTATTTTGGTCACACAATTATTGTTTTTTTTTTCAAAATCATTAGTATATTAATGGAGAGACTTATATGGAATTTTTTAAATTTTTTCAATTTCAATATAATTATTCTTTTATTAAAAGAAGGTCATGTTTGTTTTGTGCGAGTAGTTTGGTATTTAATAAAATTTTTTGATGTTTTTTATTTAAAATTTAATGTATTTTTTTAGTGATTTCTACATAGGGGAAGAGGAATGGAAATTTTACTCCTAATGGGTATTGAATCCACAATCTAAAAGAGAGGAAATGGGTCAGCTGATAGCATTTAACCCTTGCTTTAGAGATTGTTGATAAAATTTAATGTATTTATTATATAGTTTGTTAACTGTAATAAAAAATTACAATTTACAAGAAAGTTATATTCTTATTCTTACAATTTAATTTTTTTTCAATACTTAGTAGTAGAGGTTTAGTTTCTATGTTTCTCCTAAAGTCACCAAAATCACAGAGTGCTCACTTTATAATTAAAGTTACTCTGATAAAATTCGACCCAAATGATTTTCAAGTACACGTGACTTGTATATACTCAAAGAAACTAAGTTAAAATCGAGTTAATTCAGTTAACCTACATAAGTTAATTCGTTCAGTTAATTTGGTTTCCACCGTTAGTTGATTTAAATATGTTAATTTGATCAATGATAAAAAAACATCATAATCCTAGTCGGATGCGAGGAATTGTTCTTGTAGTAACCGACGTGAATCTTGGAATAAAGATATGTTTCGATGATCTGAGGAATTTGAAGTAAAGCTGAAGTCTCACTATAAGTTTCTCTTTATCACAATCTATTTAGATTATTTATTTAATTATTTTTCTTTTATTTAATTTTTATCTTTTATTTTAAAAACAACTTTTAAAAACCTATTTTTTATCTTTACTATTATTATTTGTTATTTTATTATATTTCCCTTGTATTTTCTTTAAAATTTAACACTTCTTTTTTATTTTATTTTGTTTTATTTTTATATTCTCTTTTAACATTTTTATATTTTATATTTTTCTTTTATGAAATTTAATATTTTTTCATTTATTTTATTTTTTCTTTTAACATTTTTATATAACATTTTTTAAATTTAATATTTCCTTCTTTGATTTTTTTAAAATTTAATTTTTATTTGATATTTCTTTTATTTTATAATTTAACGTTTTTGTTGGGATTTGCGGAAGCTCGAATCGACAATCGAAAGAGTTCGCCAAGATGTGTCGGGACAGTTCTTGTGTTTAGGGAGTAAGGAGATTGAAAGATAGAAAATTTTCACAGCGATTTATAGTGGTTTGATTTCTCAACCAAGTCTACATCCACTACCTTAGCTCCTCACCAATGATTTTCTAACAAATTCACTAATTTGTTCTTTCTTTTTACAGGACAAAGAGATAACCTTTACACCTCCCTAGTTTTTCACGTGCTAAACTAGAACCTTATCCCTAGCTTTTCAATGGCTCAGCTAGAAACTTTCCTTTTACAAAAGGATAAAATAAGTAAACAAGAAAACCTCTCAAAGGTAGGGTGTTTACAAGATTTAAGCTCACATGAACACAATATTTACAAGAGAGATGAAAAATAAGAATGAAAAACTCTTCTATTGTGTTTGATTGCTTTGATAGGTGTTCTCTTGCTTCTTCAAATGTCCTCAGCTTGTATTTATAGATTGGAATGTGTTAGAAGTCATATCTAGCTGTTAGGGATGTTTTGGAGCCGTTTGGGAATTATTTTTCTGCAAAAATAGGCTGCCCATAACATGGGGTATCGGTACACATTCATAGTGTATCGGTACCCTTTATTAAATTCAAATTAAACTAGTCGTTTTTAGACGTTGCAACCAGGGTGTATGGATACACTGCAGAGTGTATCGGTACACTAATTGCATTCGATGTTTGAGCAGTCATAGGTGTATGGATACAATGCAGGGTGTATCGGTACACCAGTGTATGGATACACTGCAGGGTGTATCAATACACTTTAGCATTTTTACTCATCCAAATTTAATGAACTTTGAATTATTTTTGAAACATTTTAAAAAACTTTGAATAAATTCAATTCAATTCCAAAAACATTTTTCCTTAAATTTGTTATATCGAAACATAATTCAACAATCTCCCCCTTTTTGATATAACAAAACATTTGAAAAATT